TTTAGATACCAGACCAAAACGAGCACTGAACCCTTCCATTGTGGAGGGAGCCCCACTGCAAGGTAATTTTGGGCAGTTAAAAAAATCCCTTCACTGCAAGGGTTAAGTGTATACCAAAAGGAAGACTTCAGTTTTGGCGCTTTTTAAAAAAAAAAGAAGAGCAAGTAAAATGTAATTGGTAGTTTTTTAAATATTTAAATGCCGCATTTTGGCCACTAGATGGAGCCGAGGATCATAGAAAATAAATACATCTTAGTAACAAGAGATAAAATGTAACAATTCTAGAGAACACTGAAGGGAATTAGCAGATACATTCACCCATTGCTATGGGGATTCCAGTAAAGTAGCAATTAGAGGTGCACCGAAATGGAATTTCTAAACCGAAAAAAATAATAATATATTTTTCTAACCTTTTTAATTTTTTTCTTAAATATAAAATTTTTTACTTTACTGTCCGGGGCTTTGGGGAAATATTAGGGGTCTAAACAGAGTCCTCAATCTCTTTTTCTGCAGCCCCTGTTATAAATGAACAGGAATCCTCTATACTGAGTGTCCCTGTCCAATCATAACCTGTGGATATAGTATGTTTACCATAACCACAATCATGAATGAACAGGAAGTCATGCAGAGCGCCTTCTGTTCATTCATAATTGGGGACACAGTAAACATACTATGTCCTCAATTATTTACAAATTAGGGTTGCACAGATACCAAGTACAGTACTCGGTACAAGTACGAGTACATGTGCCGATACTTTTGAGCTCCAAAACTACACTAGAGAAAAATTCAAAAATTAGGAGGCAGCTGTCATGTGTAAGGAGCACACAAAGCTCCCGGGATCTGTGCATCTCTGTTTTAATGTACGATGTTGTTTTTATAAATATACATAAAGGGATAAACCGATACCAGTTTTGTGAGTACGAGTACTGGTACTTGCCGAGTACTTACAGACACATGTACTGATACATTTTTGTGTATTGTCATGTGACAGTCTTTCTAAAACAATACAGACTAATGATTTCAGGACAGTGGTGGAGCGCCAGAGCCCGGTCCCAGCTGCAACCCTGGTAGTTCTCATGAAAATGCCAAGTATCTGCACTGGTACTCGAAAAGTATCTGTGCATCCCTATTTACAAACACTCAGCGATCACTGATCACGGACTGCTTGTACCTCGCTCTCCATCCTGGATTGGCTGACACAGGTAGCTGAGCAAGCTGTGTGGGGCGGAGAGCTCCACTGACAGCTGACTCCTCACCCGCACCACTGGCCTGGCCTCCTGTGACAGCTGTCTCCGCCCCCACTCTCCTGATCTGTCACAGGAGGCTAAGCAGGAAGGGAGCTAAGCCTTCTGTGACACTGCCGCTCAGAGCGCTCTCCTCCTCACTCCGCTGCCTTAACGTTTCTCTCCTCCCCGCTGGATGCTGCAGTGACGGGACACAATGCAGCGCCCAAAGGGGAAAAGAGAAACCAGGCATGCACTGCAATTTCAGCAGAAAGATGGTGCTTTTGGCATTTTGCCAACAGTGCCATTTTTGGCCGATATGTTTAAGCAGCTGAAATTTCGGTGCATTCCTAGTAGCAATGGTGACATTTATCTATGAATCCCTCCGTCATTCTGTAGAATCGCTCCAATGTATCTATTGTTACTTAGATCAGCGCTTCTTAAAGTGTGGGTCGCGACCCCATATGGGGTCCCGCAAGTGAACAGGGGGGTCGCAATCCGAGTACCCGGCCAGGACCGCCATCAGGGGGGTATGGCCGGTACTTGTGTGAGGGGGACCAGGCGGCCGAGGAGGTGTGGGCACCAAGCTAGATTGTTTTATTATTATTGTTCAGGAAGCTTTTTTTTTTTTTTTACAACTTTCTTTAACAAAGCAGCAGTGGAGCACAGCTGCTGGACGTAAAGGTAAGGAGGGGGGGAGGGGGCTTAGTAGTACTGGCTGACCGATACAGTGACTGGTGCTGAATGGGGGGAGAGAAGAGGAGAGTGACAGTGACTGGTGCTGAATGGGGGGAGAGAAGAGGAGAGTGACAGTGACTGGTGCTGAATGGGGGGAGAGAAGAGGAGAGTGACAGTGACTGGTGCTGAATGGGGGGAGAGAAGAGGAGAGTGACAGTGACTGGTGCTGAATGGGGGGAGAGAAGAGGAGAGTGACAGTGACTGGTGCTGGGGGGGAGGAGAAGAAGAGAGTGACAGAGAACCGACGTTGGGGTCCCTTAAAAATGTCCTCGTCCAAAAATGGGTCCAAAAATGGGTCCAAAAATGGGTCACGAGTGAAGAAAGTTTAGGAAGGCCTGACTTAGATGTATTCGGCTCCATCTAGTGGACATAATGTGCATTTCCCCATTCACTACTGCCCATAATATCTGAAGAACATATGACCAGAAGAGAAAACAGCCGTAATATGCAAGCCAAAACGTTTTATTTTTTACTTTGTATGGAGTGGAGAGGGATTAGAACACTTATCAGGTTTATATTGCCGGCTGTGTCTCCATTAAGGAGATGCACACTCTGTATTTGTCCTGGTGACTGTCATCACTGAGAGTGAAAGAAAATCCCAAATTTTGAGTTGTCATCAGAACAGGAATAGATGGAAATCTTCCAATGGGAACACTAGTTCTTGTGATCCTGCTCACCACCAGGGATTTCCATCACTTTGAGAACCACAACAGGAAGTGAGAGGAAATTCCTCCAGACAGGAAGTGAAGGGGAATCTCCCCAAAGGAACACAGATGGCAAAAAAGCTAACAGGGTTTATAATCCTCCCTAAAGCTGGCCATACACCTGTCAAGTTCTTCCGTTCAACCCACAGGCTGAACTACAGAAATTTACGTGATTCCGCCATCAATACAAACAGTATGTCGATCGAGGAATCGTCGCTGTTTGCATTGTATTCTGACAGAATACCAGATCAGAGCGGGCAGCACATTGGCTGCTGGCTATGATTCCACGAAGATTTTCCAGCAGGCTCCTTCGATTGAAAAAGATGTGTCACAGCGCTAAAGGTAGAAATAATGATAATGATTTCACAGAGGCAGAGGCAAAAATGACGCGTTTCGTCATGTGACCTTTTTTTTAAAAAAAGGCAGATATCTGCCTTTTTTTGAAAAAAGTCACATGACGAAAAGCGTCAAAAAGGCAGAGTCATTCGCACACGAGGAGTCTACATAGCGGTTCTTGAGCTGTTTTGCCGGCCGGACTTTTTATACTTTATGTGCGAGTTACTATATTTTTTTATAAACCTGAATTGCTTTTATTTACTGCACCATGAGGGCTCTTTCTTCTTAATTTTGTACCGTGGGGAGAGATGGGTCGCTGACATCGCATTTAGGAGAAATTGCCTCTGTGTATGCGGGACATCTCCAGCACCGCAGAGATTAAACTCCCTCCTGGCCAATCTCCAACGCGGGAAGAACTGAGTTCAAACTGGAACAGGATTGTGGACCCGACTGCTGATAATCCTAAAAACTTGTTTACTCACTGCATTCTGGTGAGTACCCGTCTATAAGGGGCCCGCAGACTAAACTGAAAAAAGATCAACTACTATCTGCCTTGTGTTTTCTCTTCTGACTTCTAGACCTTATTCATTGAACATTGTTTTTCACATCCTTTGATATCTTTTCTGCAAGATTATCCGTCCTTTGGTATTTTTTCTGCAAAGACTACCGCTAATAGATCACTTTAGATTGTTAAAAACTTTTAGTTTTGTTTCCTTTGCCACTGTGCGGCTATCAGGATCTTTTGATCTAGATCACTGATTGATCATCTATTGTAACAAACTTGTATTTTGTTTCACTTGTTACCATCTTAACTTGTCACGTTTTTGTTCACATACGTGCTACTTTGCGACACATTTTAACTCCAGATGTCCATTGATATTTCACATTTTAGTTTCCCAATTGTTACTTTAGTTTTTCCATTTGTTATTTAACAAATTATGTTGGGTTTTGTTTAACTCTTTCTAGCTGTGCTTAACACGCATCTTTCCCACACATCTTTCTATGTGAACACTTGATTTAATTTAAATAATTTAATCACACGATCATTATTTCTACCTTTAGCGCTGTGACACATCTTTTTCATTCAATTTAAGGAGTTCATCTCCTTTTATCACCTAGCTGCTTTAGGTATTATATCTATATATATTTTTGTAGTTCGGGGAGTGCAGATGAACTATTTCTTTTAGGCTCCTTCGATTAGCTGATTGAGGAATGCCGGCTTAGGCTGCGTTCACACATAGCGTTTGCAGTTCCCGCAAGGTTTTCTGTGCAGAAGACAGTGCGTGTCTGCAACACTAATATTTTTCAATCCGCACGGATGCCGCTTGTTTGTGGCTATTAAATAGCTGCAAACGTGCTGAATCCACCGGATCATCTCGCTTGGACTATTTCGGGGGCCACGCGGTTTCATACTGCGCGGCCCCCGGCCATGGTCTAACTGATGCACATTGAATTCCTGGTGTAGAGCGGCTGCGTGCGTATCTGTAGAGCCAAATACGCGCGGACAGCCGGTCAGGTGTGAATGGAGCCTGCAAGGGGGCAGACAGCCCCACACACTGCGAATTTCGGCCGGTACATTAAAAACCCGCCTGAAATCCGGCCAGTCTATGGGCACCTAAAAGTTTTGGCTTCAGTTCTACTTTAAGAACAAAGTGTATGTCAGGACAGAGGAGTGGACATTTTTCACAAAAACTATGAGGGTTATTCACAAAAGGGCGAAGAGTTTGGAGAAGAGAACAATCTAGGACAACAAAGCTGAACTGGAAACTGAGCTGAATCGGAGAATTTTTGCAGTTCAGCTATGTTGTCCTAGATTCTTCACTTCTCCAAACTCTTCACCCTTCTGTGAATACCCCGGTATGTGTCCAGGGATTAAACTGGGGGCTCAATCTTCTGGTCGCTCATGACAATCTACTTGCCATAAAACAAAAAGGAATTGTAGCCAAAATCGTATTTAACCGTGCTAAGAAGCGCTTTTCATTGGTCAGCAAAATGAGTGCTCTCATGAGGAGCTCCTTTAGGTCCCTCCCCTGCTGACTGACAGCATGTAGTGGGCGAGTGCCATAGCCAGCCTGCAATTGGCCATTTCAAATTGCAATAGCAGACTGGCTAATGCACACAACCACAGCCTCTCCAACCCGCACTGTGTCCTGCCCCCCGCCTCAGGCATCTCTCTCCACACGGGCACCTGACAGCTGGTGTGCGTCTCCTCCGATGCCCGCTGCCGATACAGGTGGGGGAGAGCAACAGGAACGGAGGTGACACAGACTGCAGCAGGGAGGAGTTTACGCCACTGTCTTTATCGATTAGTTGTTGTAGCCCTACACAGCTGTAGCCACCCCGTCCCAGCCCTCACACTCGGACGATGTCACTATACTCCTGATGTAAAGAGAACGCGGAAGCAAAGTCTTCACATTGGCTCCTATGCAGAAAGCTGCAGAAGAATTGGAAGGCCAGGAGTTCATCATTTCAGCTCCTGGGCTTAGCGCTGGACCCCAGGGGTTTCAGTGCTAGTGCTGATGTGGGCCCCCAGGAGCCACTGAGACTGCCATATTAAAATGGTGCTGGGAGCAATGGGTGATATCCCAACACCATTTTAAAACTGACTAATTGCCTTTCTGTGTCCTAGAGATCAAGCAGCATTCAGGGTACCCCAACGCCAGTAGTCTTTGGCTGTATATGTGTGGCTGGCCTCACCCTCCTCCTCAGCTCCTGGTTGGTGCTCTCTGCAGTCTGGTGGAGTTTCTGGCTGTGGCTCAGCTGTCTCTGTATCCGGCACAGCTCTTCCCGGCAACTTCTCAGCTCCTCCTCCAGAGCCTGGACTCTGCGGCACAGTGCAGGCTCCGCACATGGGGCTTCGCTGTCCTCAGCCTCCCCACCCCCGTTCACTTTTGTGATAGGCTGAGCAGCAGGGGGGACACCATCCCCCACACACGGCTCTGCTTCCATAATCGGTCCCGCTCCATACTGGGCCATAACACACCACACGATTCACATCCCTAACCCGCTCAGCTACCGCTTCAAAAATAACCAAATTCGGACTGCTGTCAGTCGCAGACTGATGACGCCACATGCAGCCGAGCGGCCATAGCAGAAATGGGCAAAACAACGTAGCAGCATGCTCACGGTAGAATAAACGGGAAGAGGTCCCGTGTGGTGGGCTGGGGTTGGGAAACGTGCAATGCCGCGACTAATGAGAGCGGAAAGGCTAGAAGCTCGCGGACAGCTTCAGACATATTCGCGGCTCCACCTCGCTTTGGATTACGTAAAGAGCGCCGTGACGTCACCCCGTATTCCAGGAACCGAGGCCGCCATTTTGTAGAAGACAGAGCCCACTGCGGACTTATCCTGATCGCACTGTGTAAGCTATTACCGATTGTAGTGAGACAAAATTCAAACCGCTCACCTCCTGGCACTGACAGGGGAGCCGCCACCACAAATATGTCCAGGGGCTAAGCCGGGTGAATGATAGGAAGAGCTGAGTAAGAGACGGGGGGCTGGGTGAGCCTAGGAGGAACCAAATAAATGATTGTTGTGTGTTCTGCTCTATCACTATTGTGTGCACCCGAGGTATTCACATTCTGAGGGGGGATGAAGTCCGTGATACAAATGCATCCCACAATGCAATGTGAGTCCTTAAAGTGTATGTAAACCCAAGAACCAACATGTAATATATTGCAGCTTCCTGCTCCTTACATGTCGTGTTGCAGTGCGAAGCTCCTTACATGCTTGTTTTTTTTTTGTTAGAACTTTATAGAAATGTTATAAGTGACATTTCCTTCCATCAAAGTGCCATTGTGATGTGTTGCTTCGCATTGCAACAAGCTGTGCTGAAAAAAAAGTACTGCATGCTGGCTCACATCATCCATCGCAATGCCGTGCTGTGACGTGACCTCACTGAAAACAAGGCTTTTTACCTTGTCCAAGCGCTGGGAAAGGTTGCACAGCCCCAGCGCTTCTGGTGTGATTGAGCCCCCAGGCTTTTTTCCCTTTTATTTTTACCAGATGACATACTTCCTGTCCCAGGGTGACAACACTCACTCTCTGGGGGGAATTTATGAACGCAACCAAAATGTCATAACTAACCGCAGTGTTTACTCTCTGTTTTGCGCCTTTTTCAAAGTGTTCTTGCGACATATTCATGTTTGTACAACAGCAAAAAGTTTCCCAGCACACTCACCAGCCAGCATGCAAAAAAACTTGTCTACCACTAAGGTTAAAAACAGAGGTTTAGATACACGTCTTCTGCAGAATATGTCACATATTCATGTTTGTGACTCGCTGCGCATATTTTCCGGAATTCGCATCATTTCTTAACTGCGCAGTAATTGCGTCCAGCATTTGCGACATTAAAATCCCTCTAAATGGTCGCACATTCCAGGCGTGCTCCTGAGCACGTCTTAAAGTATCGCAAAGATAATTCACCTTCGCATTCCTTAAGTCAGCCGAGCACTTCAGGTGTACACAGCCGTCCTCCAGGAGGCTCCCAGCAAGCTTGCCACAATTTAGGGACAGATTACAGACAATTCTCCTTATGACGGCGTTTCAGAATGAAACATAACCTGGGATAATAAATCTGTCACTGTACGCACTACAAATCAGGGATACGACAGTGTAAAATATGCTGATGACACCACCAAATTGATACATTTCCCCCTTTTGTATCTATGGAGAAGCAGCATTGTCACCCCAGGAAAGGACTATAAATCAAACCCCCACATCCTCTCCATATAATGGAAGGAGGTGTTATGTAGTTCTAAAACGCTTCCTGATAGTGTTTGGGATATCATTGCAGAGAACACAGGATATCACTGTATTTTTGTAGGAATACACACTGGAGTTGTTTTTATTAATCCAATCAAAGCTTACCTGAAAAATTCCCTTTTATGTCATGAGTGCTTCCTTCTGTCTGCCCATCACTTCCATCAACTTCCTGGACTCCCAGTGCGCTTTGCGTCTCTTTCCCTGCTGCTTGATGTGATGCAATCTCTATTTCTCAGCACTACAGATCCCATCATGCATTGCTTCCAGCCAGTGTCGTCACAAGGGGGGTGTCGCCCGGACCCGGGTGACACCAAAATGACTGACAGCCATTTTGGTGTCACCCCTTTTGAAAAGTCGTGCACTTGGTCATGGACCGAGAACCCGACAGTGTCAGGAGAGGAGGGGACCCGACGGCATACCTCATCGCACCGGGTGAACGTCCCTTCCTCTCTGCCGGCGTCCATCGGCGTCAATAAGATGACCGCGCATGAGAGATGACGTCACGGTGGGGGTGTCACCTTGCCTCGGGACGCCCCTGCTTCCAGCAAGCAATGTTGATGTTACATTTGTTCAGACATTGAGTTGTAGTTCAGAAGGCTCTGTGAGAGTTGTGACACAAGGAAGTGCATATCCACAGGGCTGCGTGAAACTGTGTCAGTACATTGAGGAAGTACATCCTATAGGCATCTTCAATAAGTAGGTTTACACACTTTGAGATCAATATGGTTATTAGGAGTGGGTGAGAACTTATGGAAATTCAATATAGAAATACTGATTTATTTGAAGTTTTGACCATAGATATTCTAACGCAGGTCTCCTCACGGCCCCCAGCTTGTGATTGGACAGTAAAAGGAGACGTAGCAGACCGGTGAGCTCATCTGTCACTCTGCTCTCATCAGCATTTCCCTTGCAAGCATATGAGCACTGAAGCACAACCTCTTGGCTCCTTGTGCTAGATTCCCTCTCCCAGTCTGATCTCTGCTGAACACTGGATTGCAAGAGGCTCACACGGACTCGGATATCAGATACTCACACTGGTGGCATTTACAAATAAATTCAATGATTGATTAACAAACCCAGAGCTGCATTCATTGTATGTTTTATATGTGCCTCAGTTCTCTGGTTTGTTGGGGGAGGGGGTGTCTGTGGTGACACGTTTGGTTTGATCCACGTCTTCTATGTTCTATCCCCTCCAGGCTTCAGAGAACATTGTAAGAAAGAATGACCGTCTGCGCTGCGTTTGGCTGTAAGAATCGCCTCTCAAAAGGATGTGGAAAGCATTTTTTCAGGTAATAAGAAGTCAGACCTGTACTCAGCATGATGTTATGTTACCTGTCTTTTAGGGTTTAACCCATTGAGGACCAAGCTTCAGATGCTTCTATTCCAGTAAAGGACCAAAGCAATTTTTGCTTTGGTCCTGTGTTCAACCGCACTTTCCATCTTTCTCATTTATGGCACCAACACATGTTATAGACCGTTTTTTAAAGGACAAAAAGGGGTTTCATTTGATGTGACATATGATTATGTAAGTTCTCAATTAGTGCATGACAGAAACTTAAACCCTTAAAGGAGAACTATGGGGTCAGTGTTTTTCCCCATAGTTCTCCTTGGGGTAACGGGAGGACACAAACTAGCGTCCTCCCGTTACCCTATGGGGGCTCCGAAATTCACGCCATACAACCGATCAGCGGCTATAGAGCCGCTGATCGCTTGTATGTGAAACAGCCGTTAACGGCTGTAGTAACAAGCGGGTCTTTCCTCCCCTAGCGCGCGCGAGCAGGAAAAAAATGCCGTCTGACGACGGCAACCCGCAGATAGGAGTCAGCCGTCCGTCCGTTTTTTTCTTAACGGGCGGATGGCAAGAGGTTAAGGACCCATGATGGACTTATTCCGTCATGGGTCCTTATGGCACGGACAACCATGATGGAACAATTCCGTCATTGGATCTTAAAGCAGACCCTTACCCATGTCTCTAAAATAACAACAAATACACCTTTAGAACTGTATAGTAATGACAATCTACAAACAGATACTTCTAGATAATTGCCGGCTTTGTATTCTTTGCATCCCTTATATCTCTCTTCTTTCCCAGTCTTCTGGCAGTGGCCATGTTTACTAAGGACAGATTGCCATCTCTTCTTTCACTTCATACATTTCTGGCACATGTGACTAGGACATGTGACCATGCACATCATCTCAGGGGAGGAAAATGCCTTTCCCTGAGATCTCGTGAGATTACAGATGAGATTTCCCAGCAATGATTTGCTGATGACAAGGCAATCCCAGTGTGCATTGCTTTGCCAAACTTAAGTCATTTTGCCCTTTCAAAGCAGGAAGTGAATGCTCTGCAAGTGTCAATATTTCAAAATCCCAGCATTTCACACCTGACATATCTGTTATTATTCATCATCATAAATAGAGAGATGCATCGGTAGAATTTGATTCTTGAGTATAAAGGTCCGCTTTAAGGCCCTTTATGTCTTCCATTGGGCCCAGAAGGAAGACGTGTTGTCCTCTGTAGATGTCAAGGATTTGCACTTGCATGTCCCCATTTTTCCAGCACCTTAGCAGTTCCTTCACTTTGCTGTGGGTCACCTTCCCTTCTAGGTTGGGGCCTGGCCATTCATCGCATCTCCTACTCCTCAAGTGTACCACCAAGGTACTGGCCTTGCTATACTCCCAGGGCATCCCTAATGTGGGAACAATTGGCACACGTTCTGGCCAGCAAATGTGGCATGGACAGTTCAGACATTGCAAATGTTCAACTGGATCCCAAGCCTTTAGAAACCAGTGCTGGAACTGACTCATCGCTTGGAGCATCTAGGTCTTATCATAGGATACAGTTTGAGCCAGACATTTTCTTCCCCCATTCAAGCTCAGAAATTCCATATGGAATCCACCAGACTCAATGTACTATCTCAGGGTGACTTCCAGTTTTTCATAGATCACAGGAGTTCGCATTACCATCCTTTGGTGCCAAAAGAGGAGGAACTTTGTTGTCCAGACAACAGGTAACTACTCCATTATTTAGAGATGACTAGTACATTTAGAAGATCTAGTCACCTTTTAGTAGTTTTGGTGCCCATAAGAATGCACTTTTGGCCTCCAAAACTTCAGAGGTATTTGAGAAACTCACTTAGATAGTATCTTGTATAGATACAAAAAGAAGGTCCTCATGCCCTAGAGGCTTTAAACACTTAGTGAAATCACTGGTCACTTCCTGGGCTGAAGAAGCAGGTGCCATGGTGGACCAGATCGGTAGAGCTACTGTGTGGTCAAGCAAAACATCTTTATGAAGCATTACAAAGTGGAGGCTCTTCCAGCAAAACCTGGCTTCCAGCAGGAAAGTTCTGCCTGGTAGTGGTCCCACCCTAAGGTATTAGTATACTTGCTTCTCCTCTCATGTGAGCTGTCCTGGAAGATGACCTAGGAAATTCCCAGTTAGGCTTACCAGTAATGGTATTTCTAGGAATCTTCCAGAATGGCTACCTAGTTCCGACCCGAGATGTGGTATTTAAAATGTTTGCTTGTGTTTCCTGAAGTTGGAGGAACCAATCATGTCTCACAAAAGCTGTCCCGGAAGATTCCTAGAAATAACATTAACCAAAGAGTAGAGGTGCACCGAAATGGAAATTTTAAAACCGAAATTAAAAAAATTGTCAGACTGGAACCGAAAATGTTTTTTATTTTAATCTTTTCAAATTTTTTAAATATTTATTTTTTTATAAACTTCTTCTTTTTTTTAATGTTTTTTATATTTATTTTTATGTCTTTATTTTTTATTAAATATTTTTATTTTTTACTTTTAGGGTCTTTGGGGAAATATTAGGGGGCTAAACAGACCCCTGATATTTCCCTTTTAAAATAGAAAAAGAGATTGAGAACACAGAGTCCTCAATCTCTTTTTCTGTATCCCTTATCAATGAACAGGAATCCTCTATACTGAGTGTTCCTGTTCATTTATAACATGAGGACATAGTATGTTTACTATAACTACAACTATGAATGAACAGGAAGTGATGTAGATCACTTCCATTTATACATAATTGAGGATATAGTAACCATACTCTGTCCTCAATTATGTACAAACACTCAGCGATCACTGAGTGTTTGTACCTTGCTCTCTGACACGCTGTCACAGGAGGCTGATCGAGCGGTGTACAGAGGAGAGCTCAGCCTCCTGTGACAGCGTGGCCTGTCTCCGCCCACACACCGCTCTGCCGGACTGTGATAGGAGGCAGAGTGGTGTGGGAGGAGACGCCGGCCACTCACAACGCTCTCCTCCCGCAGTGCTCAGCCGGCTATCACAGTTTCTCTCCTCCTGGGACACAGTGCATCCCTACCAATAAGACTAATTGGGAATTTTCTTTGCTTCCCTGCTGCTCTGTTCAGTGGCAGGAACTAACAAAGAATTGGGGAGTATCTGACTTACCAGTGTGATAGAACTGGGCCTATCAGTGCTGTCACAGGGAGTCCATAGCTCTATCTGAGCTACAACTCGGGTGACTTCTAGCTCACACAGATGTTTCTGTTTTTTTTCCTCTGCGTTATAACAGGGGCTTCCAACTTGCTCTAAAGTTGAGTATTTTTTTGCAATATATTATTTTTCTCCTTTAGTTGGATTGTACCTGCATTCAGCCAGAAGATGGCACCATCTCATTTGAATTGATATATAGCAACTGGCTATTAGAGATGAGCAAGTCATTGTAATTCACCTTGTCTCTGCTGGATTTTGTTTTGGGATACCTGATAGCAGATACTGTTGTAACATATTTTATTGAATACACTGTACGTTAATCTAGAATGCATTAGATGCACATATCATGTAATATTTTATTATACAAAAGCCATTGTTTACAAAGTACCCCTAGTAAATACTGTTTTTTTTTAACTCCTCCTTTAAGTATTTCTAAGCTTTTCTCTAAGTCCTTATTTACAGGGGCATGCACACCCATACAGCGTCCATGTCTGTGCAGAAACCCGTACCCCGGAGGGACAGCCGTTGCATGTAGCTGCTTGTACAACATGACAGACACAGCTGTTCCCTCCTGGCACAGGTTTCTGCACGGACATGCATGCTGTACACCAGTGCACGTCCCTGTGAGTGAGTCCTAATCATTTATTAATGTTTTTTCCAAACAATCCTTTGTTTTAACCAGCCAAGGTACTCACTTTATATATACATATTGTTTTCTAAAATGTTTCACTCTAATGATGAACTTCTTTCGATAGACAGAAGTACCTATTGAGCACATCACAAATACTCTTTTGGGTACGCATACCACTGGCTGGTAACCTGTGTGTGTTTTATTCTACAAGAAGTTATCACAAATGAGAGGGGCCTTGCGCCAACCAACCAACTCATACTCACCCACATGCTTCCGGTATCGGGAAGTCGGGAAGCGCGTCATTACACGCTTCCCGGCTTCCTGATTGGCCGGGAAGCCAGCTCCATGCTCTCTCGTCACTTGTGACGAAAGAGCATAGAGCCGGCTTCCCGGCCAATCAGGAAGCCAGGCGCTGTGTAATGATGCGGCACCCGGCTTTTTTAATTGGTCGGGAAGCCGGCTTCATGCTCCCTCATCACATCATGATGAGGGAGCATGGAGCCGGCTTCCCGGCCAATCAGGAAGCCGGGCGCCGCGTCATTACACAGCGCCCGGCTTCCTGTTTGGCCAGAAAGCCGGTTCCATTCCTTCTCGTCGCCTAGTGACGAGAAGCATGGGGACGGCTTTCCTGCTAATCTGGAAGCCGGGAGGCGAGTCTTTACACTCTGCCTGGCTTCCTGAATGGGACTTCCGGTACTCTGTATTCGGTAATCTGTACTCGTACTCAATACCGGTATCGGTGCATCCCTCGTTTTCACACTCTGAATTTCTGAAAGTCTTATGTTCCAAGAGCTGAAATGTGGTTGTTAAGAAAACTCTAGGAGTATGGCAGGGAGCAAGACGCAGGGAGAGAAAGACTGCAGGCTCAAAATTGTAAGCAGAAGCTGGGCAAAAACAAATGTTGTATTATGATTCTGGGTAACCCGGCTATATCGCATAAGGAACGGGTAAACAGGGACAATTATGAGTTCCTTTTAATTTTACAAACATGTTTTTTTTTTCTAGTTCCTATCACTTATACAGCAAGAAACTAACATATTCTCATCCTATTTAGATTTCCGATGAAAAATCCTGAGTATCTTGCCAAGTGGCTTGCGGTCATTCGACGTGACAAGTGGAAGCCATCGATTTACAGCAGATTATGTAGCGACCACTTCACAGAAGATGATTACATGCTGCGACCAGGGGCATCATATCCTTATCTGCGGCTGGATGCTGTGCCTTCCATCATTGACGGCATCTGTGTAAGAAAAGAACCAGTGAAGAAGCCTCCAAAAAAGTCAGAGATTGCACCAGAGGTGGACACGGCTGTTGAGCACTCCTATTGTGCTAATTCTAATAAGGAGGTGGTCCAAGCTCCAAAGGAGGTGGTCCAAACCCCAAAAGTGGATCCTGTTCTGGTTAATTTGAGAAGGAAGAAGAATACTCTGCAGAAACAGGTGCTAAGGCACAGGAACAGAATAATCAACCTGAAGAAGCTGATTATACAGCAGCGAAGCAACATGCATGGAAATGATCCTGTGCAGCTCATGTCAAAGTATTTCAAAGGATTAACATTAGATATGTTCAGACATATGGTTCAAAATGGCAAGAAAACCAAAGGAACACATTTCTCCAAAGAGATCAAGGGATTTGCCGTTACTTTATATTACTATTCCCCAGTAGCTTACGAACTTTGCCGACCAGTCCTTTGTTTACCGTGTATTGAGACTTTGAGAGAATGGATGCCTTCAGTAGTGGACGTGTCTCATTCTGGGGTAGTCATTCAGACAGAGGAAGTCCTGGCAGTAGAGAATTAAGGGAGCTGTTGCCAGTACCAAGCAAGAAGTGTTTTTATTTTATTTTCCTAACTTCTTCCCCTTTTACTTTTTATACATGCATCCCAAGAAAACGCAGACAAGATCCTGGGCTGTTTCTTCAATGGATAAATGTGTTCTGGAAAAAATATAGCTGTTTTACCACGCTGCATCTGCGTTATGCTTTGTTTGTTAAAAAGGGTTTTTCACCTTCAGCTATGACCCATTCTGATCATATTCTCACTTACAGAACAGGACTCTTACTCAAGGAGAATATTAAGATGGCTTCAGTGAATTGTTTGCAGATCACACAACTCATGCTAGGTATGCTAACCTTCAGCTCAGCCTCCTTGATGTCAATCAGTGTTGCAATGGGTGAATGTAGATGAAGGTGTCATTTAAAAGAAAACTATGGTCCAACTAGGGCTGCAACTAACGATTTTTTTGATAATCGATTAGTTGGCCGATTAATTTTTTTCAATTAATCGGTTAAAGAAAAAAATATTCAATACTATCTTTTATTTAAAATGAAATTCACAAATGGAGTGTTGCAAGCAAAGTTTACTTCAGAATAAAATTGCATGCACATTTTTTGCAATCGCACCGCACATTAAAATGAATGGCACTGTTGTGGTGCCATTCATTTTAATGGCACCCCAAACGCACCTCCCGCCCACAGTGTGATCGACGGCACTGGAATGCACGGTACTGCAATGCCGTGCTTTGCAGTGCGGTGCGATTGCAAAAAATGTGCATGTTGTACACATCCTGCAGCAGAATTTGTCAGGCCAAAACCAAAAATTACTTTTCCCACCTTTTTTTTTATTTATTTTTTTTAGATTTTTTATTTTATTTTTTATAATTGTATGTATGTATGTATTATATTAGACATTTAAATTAGTTTCAGGATTTAAAACATGAATTGTAAAACTCCAATATGATAAAATAACCAAACTTTTATTTAAAATAAATAAAAGTCTGGTCTTCAGTTTAGAGTTAGCCATGAATATTGGCTGGAAAATTATATAGTTTTATACATAGGTGCACCCGACTTGTCATTCCGTTAGTATGCGTGCGTTTGCAGGCTCAGGGGACTTCTAAACTTTTTCCATTTTTTTTTAACTTCATTGCTATCACATGGGGGCTCAGAAGTCCTTTATGTGATAGCACATTTGAGATGACAGGTTTTCTTAAAGCACAGCACTGCCTGCTGTCAATCAGCAGAGGAGAGAAAGCTCTCCTTCAGGTCCTCCTCTGCTGATTGACAGCAGGCACTGGGCGGGTGCAATAGGCAGCCTGTTATTGGCAAATGCAATTTAAAATATCCAATAGCAGGCTGGCTATTTTTTTCCAGCCGCTGATAGGAGACTTGACCCCGGTGTTCTATCAATCCCTCGGACTCGAGTCCTAAGGGGATGAGTGTATTTCACTCTCCCCATAATTCTCCTTTAAATGTGTGGCAGATATGTGCAGTGAATGTCCAGGAAGGGAGAGCAACGCATAGGAAGTCACTGGATTTACTTATTTAATGTATTAGAAATCTGGTGCCTGTACAAAAGCTGATATACCTCCTTTTTGAAGGAGTGAATCAAACGGTGACTAGTTATGCCAAATATACTTTAAAAATCAGGTGAATGATTCATTTCCATAAAATGAATCTTGTGTAGTTTTGCCATTCAGCCCTTTGAATTCCTGTTTCCCTGTTAATTAAAAGATAAATTTACTTTTTAAGCTCTCTCCATTCCTCCTATACCTCTTATTGCAAACCTCATATCAGCCTGCAACCTCCTCCACCTGCTGACGCTGACTGCAGTGATTCTTCCTTGCAAGCAGCTGGTAAGCAAAGTCACCTCTGAGGTGGTGGGTAGAGGTCTGTAGTAGGGGGTATAGAAGTGAAAAAGTGTTGAGGTAAAAGGTTGATTACATTTTTTTTAAAATTTAAAGTGAAGCTTACCTTTAATACATCCCTTTTTAAAAGTCCATGTGTATTTGCATATAACCCAGGAAGAATAAGGACACAGAAGAACTGATCAGATTAGGCTGAGGGTTATCTCTTTATAGCCTATTGAGGCTATAAAGAGATAACCAAAGAACATCTTATTATGAATGCTTTGGTAAAGGAATGGAGTGCTTTGGTTCAACCGTAAAGCTATGCTAATGCAATTGGAGAAAACTGAAGTGACAGACTTACAAGCATTTATGTTTGCATTTAATAAATCATTTTCATTATGTTATTCTTCCTTTCCAAACCTTTAGTCAACCTTGCAAATTAAATAATTGTTTAATAAAGTAAATTCATTTGGCTTAGATCGTTGTTGTATGGAAGAGACTGGCACTTCATTGGCTGGTCATCAATTTTCTAAAAAGGTCAGCTAGGTTTTTGCCCCTGCATGTTACATTCATTACAGATCAGTAATGCACTAGTCAACAACACTGTGGGACTTGTTTATAACATATATTTATATCTGCTCTCTGTTATATTCCACAGTGTTGTGCACACCATAGCTTGCATTTCTGGCGCATTCATGAAATGTGAGCTGCAGTGCCTCAGGAAGTTCTCTCTGCTTACCCTCGCAGAGAGTGGTACACCGACCTAAGGGTTCCAGCAGATGCACTGTGGGCCCTGCCAGACCGTTCATATCTAGTGCCCCATGGGCCAGTTTGCCATTCTGCTTCGCAGTCACTGGTTTTAATGGCATGGATGTTGAACCGCAGTTTCTAAGGGACAGGGGAATCTTTAAGTCTGTGATGCCTTTGATGCACAGGACTAGGCAGTCCACTTCCCCAGAGTCCAGGGGCTTGCATTCATCGAACTTCTCCATAGGACAGATTCTCTCCTATCTACAGTTATCTCTGGACCAATGTTTGGCTCTTAACACCATCCAAGGTGAAGTCTCTACACTTTCCATTCTGTTTCAGAGACCATTGGCTTCCCACTCGCACCTGGCTGCAGGTGTTCTATATGGTCCCTTTTACTGTCCCCAATTTGTGGTCATGTGCTTTACAGGATCTCTAACCTCTGTTTTGGTTCCAGGGGATCTTTTTCAGGTGTTCCCTTCTATGCCTGGGTGACATGGACACTTCTTATTGGTTGTCCAGTGGTGGGGTCCTCACAGGTTTCAGAACTGCGCAACATGATGTCACAAAGAGATTACTGGTTGGCATGGGCGCAGACTTCAACGCTGGATTACCAATCATCACTCATGGAAGCAACCAGCTAAATAAGTAATAATGAACATGGGACTTTTTTTTTTCAAGCTAGTGAATGGGAGGGGGATTTAGTTTTGTCCTGAGATGTTAAAAAATATAATCGGCACACCTACAAACCATCTGCATTTATAAAGTATTTATGTTAAAAAAATGAAATTATATGTATACAGTATCATACATAACCACATATGCAGGTAAAGAGAACATGGGAAGAACATGCTCTGAAGCAGTACAGATGAGTAAATAACTCTGTATAACAATGTCACAATAGTACGTAGAGATGTCAACAGTACTCTACTTGTGTATATTTTGTGTTTTCCTTATGATGACTATGACACTATATACAGAATCTAGCACAGTATTGTGATATTGCTATACTGAATTCGGCGCTTTTCCACAATTACTAAACCATCCACCTAGGAATCAGAGAAAATCACATCAACAAGTGTACAAGAGGAACAGTTACAGTTATTATGAATTCCCTGTACAATGCTGGAGTGTTCTTTGCCACACAGGTCACAAATAAAGCACTGTGGAGGGAGAGCACATTTGGCAACATGTATTACATTGTTTTGTTTGTAATGTACAGTAGATAGAGGGTTTAAAAGTATTTTCCACTTTTTTAAAATCAGTGGATAACACATTTTTGGTGTGACTTAAAGGAGATCTATGAGTTGAGTGATTTCCACTCACCTCATAGTTCTAGCCGACCTGTGACAATGAGACTGTCACAGGTCGGCTCAGTAGATCGGGAGGTGAGCGAACACATACCAGGTTCGCTCACCTCTCGATCCTGTCACGGCTCTCTGCTGTGACAGGGGGAGGGCTGGATTCTCCTCTCCCCGCTCCGATCTGCCAGCGCTGACTGGCGGAATGGGCGGGGGAGGGGGCGGGTACGCTGGCTCTGCCTCTAGATAGGCAGAGCCAGCTGTCACTCACGCAGCTGGGCGGATCCCGTCATCTACGTCGCGATCCGCTCCGGCTGCGGCGTCTCAGTATACCGCAAGCTGTAGCTCGCGGTATACTGAGCTTAGGGTAATGGGAGGACGCTAGTTTAAATAGTAAGTGGTAGGAAACCCTCCAATCATCTGCTCCAGTGTCATCCGGTATAGAGCTGCTGAGCATTTTCCGCATGACGCTTCTACAGCAGCTTTAGAGCTTATTGGGAATCTAAGCACAAATACCACCACAGTGGGGGTTTCCTTTTATTTAATGAAAAGCACATATACAGTCCCAATTTGCGATTTTCCAGGAAAATTATTGTGTTGTCTATGCTGCCCAATGATTATAAAACATCCCAGTTGGAAACATACTGTAGGGAAAAGAAAAGGGCAAGTTGCAATTAGGGATGTACCAATACTAGTATTGGTATCAGGACCAATACTGGGCATTTCTTGTACTCCTGAAAATGCCCCGATACTAAAGGCCGATACTGGCCCTTTCTTTTTTTAAACGGATCGGCTGCTGGGGTTCAATGCTTGTGGGGACCCTGGCAACCTGCTGGGGACCTGGCCTTGGCACTGCCTGTCTTGGCCCATATCTCCTCCTTCCCGGCACGGCCAAGGACAGCCCCGGACTGAACAAACAGCCTCGGTGCCCGATTGTTCAGCTCGGCACCTGCCTGCAGAGCACCACATGCAACCTGGTGACAATCTGTACACAGCATGGTGAGACGCAAACACAGCCCTGGTGACATCTGTACACAGCATGGTGAGACGCAAACACAGCCCTGGTGACATCTGTACGCAGCCTGGTGAGATGCAAATGCAGCCCTAGTGACATCTGTACACAGCCTGGTGAGACACAAACTAAGCCTGGAGTGAAACTGCCCTAAAATCATTAGTCTGTATTGTTTTAGAAAACAAATACACATGTCCCTTTAAGAAAAAGTATCGGTAATTGGTATTGGTGAGTACCTGAGGGAAAGTACTTGTACTTGGTCTTAAAGAAATGATATCGG